TCTTATATTTGAAAGTTGAAAAATTATATAGTACCTATATCCGGTCTAATAATATAATGTTATTTTTGTTATTTTTTATTAACACGAGTATAATAGGTACTACCGGTAAACTATCTAACAAGAGAGCAACCGTTRGTCTTATTGTATATTAATATTATGTTCCAATACTTTAATGTAATTGGTATAAAATACAAATGCGACGAAAATAATCGACCTTTCCGTGTTTGGATTTTTGTGTTTCAGCTGAGTGAGGACTTAGGCTACCGGATATACTCGGCGCTYGGTTCGTTCTAYATACCGTCATGTATCATGGTGTTCGTTTACATCCGGATATATTTCGCAGCCAAGGCGCGGGCGCGGCGGGGCATCCGGAAACCACCGTCGAAGCCGACGAAAGGGGCGGCGAAGGCTGCAAAGGCAGCGGCGGCTGCAGCAGCGACCGCGCAGAGCCCGTCCACCCTTTCGCAGACGACCAGCTTCATCACGCGGCCATCGCCGGCCGGCGTACCGCTGACCGCGTTCCGATCGCCGCCGGCCACGCCGGTTAACACCACGCTGCCGGTAATCGCCTGCGACTACGCCAGCGACGCGAGCACYAGTGACGTCAGCAAGGACGGTGACAAAGACACGCTCAAGGTGTTCACCACGCAAGGCAGCCGCCGACTGACGGTCAACGGCGATCTGGTCGGAGGGGGCGGCCGGTGCCGGGCGTCAAGCGTGGCCGTGGACACTGACATGGTCAGCGAGCTGGAACCGTCGTCGTCCGACTCGGGCAACGTGCAAAAGTGCGGTGCCGTCAAGCCGATCAAGTCGCGGCTGTGCAAACCGATATTTGGCGTCGGTCGCAAATCAGCCAAGGCGGCGTCGGCCAAGGCCAAGCGGGACATACTGGATACGGGAAAGGTGTCCATGGCGTGCCGCGGCGGCGGTGACGGTCACCATCAGTACGGYGTCTCGAACGTRTCGCAAGGTGGGACGCCCGTGGATCCGGTGCCGTGCCTGCCGCGGCCCAAGCCCCGAGATCCGGAGCGCGAGAAGCGGCGCATCGCCCGGAAGAAGGAGAAGCGCGCCACGCTCATCCTCGGCCTTATCATGGGCTCGTTCATCGCCTGTTGGCTTCCGTTCTTCTTCATGTATATACTGACGCCACTGTGTCCTGTGTGCTACATACCGCCACAAGCTTTCGCCATTGCTTTCTGGCTGGGCTACATGAACTCGGCCATCAACCCAGTCATCTATACAATATTCAACAAGGACTTCCGGCGCAGCTTCCGGCGTGTGCTATTCAAATGATGAAAATGCCGAGCCTCCGACCCGGGCTACCGGAAGAGGCCTTCGACGCCGCCCCAGGACTCGTACAACTGGTCCTCGCCTGTCCAGCCATCCTACGTCACATTGTCCTACATCGATTTCTCTTCTTTTACTTATTCTTCGTATCCTTCTTATTCTCGTTCTTGTTCTTTCATAATCAATATTATTATTATTATTACCTACTATTATTGTTATATAATATTATAACTGTTATCATCGTTATTATTGTTTCTCATTGTATATTTTATTATATACGAACGTGAAATATACAGTTTGTCCGCAAAAACTTATCTTCTCCCCCTCCTCCCCACAGGAAAGCACGGTGCTCAGTTCGATAACAAAATGTGAATTGTGCATCTGGCGTAATAAAATTATAACTAGCCATCAAATATATGAATAATCAGTAAACTTTCTCTAATTCCACCGTGGGGTTCGAAAAATCATATATAAAAAAAATATATTTTTATTTTTAATGCTTTTTACAACTACACTCGAGATTTCAACCGCAGACAGATTTCSCAACCACATCCAAAACGACACAGTACCTACATATTATAGTCATAAACATATAGACATATATACAGCTATGCGTGTAAAACGTATTCGGTTTTATTATCTTTCATTATGAAGTAACGTAAGCGTAATCGAAAAGTATCCATTTAGAGTAAAAATTGATTTACGGTATGGAAATCTATTTATACAAAATGTTTTGATATAAGATCATGGATAAAATATAAGCGTTCTTAATTTTTTATTTTTTTTTCTTAATATGAACAATAATTAACTGTCTAAAAAATAATATTAAAAAAATTATCTAAACTAAAACAAGATATAATGACATTATACTAAAATATATTTTKCATTATAATTACCATTATAAWTTAAAAATTTAACCAATAAAAAAAAATCCTTTATCGTAATAAGTTAAGATAATATTATAAAAACATTGAATTCTCATTATTTTGAATACAACTTTGTGAATAGACTTTAAATTGTATGATAAGCTTATTAAAAATTAACAAGTAGGTAATAATAATTTAAATATTTAAAACATTTCATATTATACCATGTTAATTTCATGATAAAACTTTGAATATATTATTTAATACGAGTACAAATAAATAACAGTTTTAAATTATTATTATAAATCCATTTTACCTAGTTACCCTCATACAAAATTTGGATAAATATAATCAAATAACAAAAACCATTTTTACTATAATATTGTAAAGTAATATTTTTGCGTAATCTAATAAAGTAGCAAAATATAAAAAAAAAAATATMTAAAAATATTATTGAAMTATGTATATTATTTTTTCATATAAAAAAATTTGCAAGTATTGGAGTTTTAAATCTAGTTTCAGTATGAACTCATATTAAAAATATATTTTAATATAGGTATATTATGAAAA